GATCGCAAGGAGAACCGGGATGAACAAATGCATTGACAATCCAAAAAGAGCATGGACCCAACAGCTTGAGAAAGAAATGCAAGTCAAAATCAGCAACCAGCAAATCAAAGCGGACATAACAACAAACAGCAGCAACAATCAGCCAACAGACAACAATTAAGAACTAAAGATCAGGAGATCACATTCCCTTCCGATACCATCTTTTGCAAGCTTATCAGCAAGGCTATTTCCAGATCTGAAGAACTATAGAGTGTTAATTGGCAACCACTGAAGATCTAAAGAAGAAGACTCGTTTTATTTATCCCTGTAAGTGGAGTATTTATCTAACTTCATTATATGAAATTTCACATATATATGCTAATTATTAGGTGCAAATTAAGTAGCTTGGGAATCAAATTTAATTTTCCTTTTTTTTTTTGACAGATGGAGGCCAGTAATGTTTATTCGAGTGCAATTGTTGGTCAAGTTCTTGTTGGAGTATATAATTATGAAAACTGGAAAGCTTGCGTACAAAACTATTTGTGGGTTAGAGATCTGTGGGACGTTGTGGAACAAACCTCACAACCTCCTCAACCGGAAAATGAGGCTGAATTCAAGGCTTGGAGTAAGAGGAATGTGGCTGCTTTGCATGCTATTCAAATTTCATGTGATCCGCTCATGCTTTCTTATATCAGAAACATGGCTACGGCTAAAGATGCTTGGAACACTTTGGCCCAAGTGTGCCAATTGCCTACGCCCCAACAAGCACCCCAGGCCCCCCAAGATGCACGACAGATGCCAGGTCTCTCTCTCTCACTCTCCCTCCTAGTCTTTCTTTTTACAATATATATAGTTCAACCCCCTTTTTCTTTTGTCTTCCCCTTCGTGATTTTCATCATTTTCAAACCTTGTTTACTTCGTTAATAAAATGTAAGAAAACAAATCAGAATAAAAAGGATCAAGTGACATGTGGCAAAGTATGGTTTTATGCATCTTTGTTGATCAGGCAACAGTTTGTTTAAAGAAAAGATCATTTAAATTTTAGAATAATTTCTACCAACGGTTGTCGAATTATTCCATACTTTGGCCTAATTTAACATTGTAGTTGAGTTGAAAAAATTACGTTGAAAAGTGTTGCGTAGACTGTTGTGATAAGTGTCTGATTTAAGTTTTTTTTTTCTTTAGTATTGGGTATTATTGTAAAAAAGTTGGTAGCGAGTTAAAATGTTTAAAAAATAACATGATATTTAAAAGTAAAGAATGAGTTATTTTTCAAAAAATAATTATTGTTAAGACATATTAAATAATAATAATAATAAAGCTTTAAAGGTCTATATATGACACGGTTATTAATATGTTATAATTAATATATATTATGATATTAATAAAAAACGATATGTATCTATATAATTATATTTTTTTAAAATTTATATAGAAATTACATCATATAATATGTGATACATATTGTACGATATGATTGATATGTTATTTATAAGCTTAATATATCTTACCTGTTACAAATAACTTTTTTTTAATTTATTTTATTTTGAGCTTTTTTCAAAAGTTATTTTCTTTTGAGTTAAAATATGAAAATATATTTTTTTCTATAGATTTCAATCTTCAAGATTTAGATTTTAAACAAAAGATATTAAAAAAAAAAATTTCTCTTTTGACTTCAACACGAGAATGTCTTTTGAGTTTATATTACATTGATAATAGTCTTAAAATTTTCTTGTTAAATGTATATGTTGAAATTTGTGATTTAACTTATTCAAACACATTATAACTGGTCATATATAGATTATATGAATCGAACTATATTAGACAAGCATATGTTGGAGTCGTTATACAAAATCTAAACTTGTTCAACCTAATAAATTAGCAGTCTTTAGCATACTACTCTATTAACAATGTTGTGCGACGGCAGTGGCCAGATTTATTGATCGTATGCATATTTTGGCATAACAAAATATAATCTTCGACATATGTTTGCTAGACCGCACTCGTACTTTGGAGCTCCTCAAGGCTATTAGGGAACGTGATTTGGAATCCACAAAGAGTCTTTTGACGTCCCACACACATTTAGCCAATGCCGCACTTGGCGGTACCGGTTTCACAGCCTTTCATTTCACAATCTTCGAAGGTCAGTTGGATATGATTGACGAATTTCTAAGCACAATGTCAGAAGATGACGTCAAAATGCAAGATCCCTTTGGTCGCACAATCCTTCACCATGTCGCCATGTCCACTGAAAACACCAAGATTGCCCAATGCCTGATCAGAAAGAACAAG